TGGGGCTCCACCCCAGGACCCTGAGATCATGACCTGAGCTGAAATCAAAAGTCGGATGTTCAACCCACTGAGCCACTCAGGCGCCCCTGCAAGTTATTTTTTTTAACATAGCTCAGTTTCTTAGCCTGAGGCCAGCTGGGTTTGACCTTCGCGCGTGAGGTTAGTCTAAATGAAAGCCAGCTAGTGAGATGGGCTTTGTTCGGGTCCCGGGGAAACCCCAGAGGTTGTAGGTTGTTACCATTGACTGTTCCAAAGGAATGACTTGGCCACGGTGAATCGTTCTAATGGTTTGTGCATTACTTTTCAGGGACTGTTTCAAACTTCCTTGGGGCTACAAGGAGAACCAAATAAACACAGGTCAACACCATCCTTCCAGACTCTGGAGCACTCTCCCTAAGTGCAGGAGCTCGGGGCAGGGTAGTCGTGACCAGCGTGAAGCCCTCCTTGTCCGCTTGTGGGTGTGGGGACCACCTGGAGGGCAGCGCCAAGACACCTGACCTCGAATCATAGAACCATGACGTCTCAGCGGCCACCCAAAGCCAGGAGACTTTCCTGAGGGCCAGAGGCTGTGCTCTCTTTCTCACCTCGTCAGAACAGAGCTGCTGTAAAGCCTGCTTTCCAGCAGCTATGTCCCCATTTTACAGACCAGGAAACTAAGGCACAGAGGGGGAAACATCTCGTCCAAGTTCCTCTCCTTAGGAAGCGGTGGAGTCAGGATTTAAAATCCCAGTCTTCCTCCAGAGCCCAGGCTCCTCATCCCCATGCTCTGCTGCTTCGTGAAAGGGGCCCGTTTGAGCCACCGAGTCACCAACCAGCAGGGGAAGTGAAGACGGAAGTTTACGGGGCTCGGGTGATGTCTTTGCTTTCCCTTATCCAGTTGCTATTGGTGACGCAGAGTACCAGATGGAATCTCCTCCCGTTGCCTACACTGCGAGAAAAATGATGTGTGTGTGTGCGCGCGTGCGCGTGTTTGGAGGTAGAGGGGTTGATGGGCGTGAAAGCAGAGATGGTTCTAAAGCAGTGAGGCCACCAGCACCACGAGCAGAGGTCAGGAGACCTGTGGGCACCCTGATGCCACCCCAGGACCATTCACGTGCTCACAGATTTCTGGGCCACGCGGCGGTGGCGGCTGGTGGGAAGTCTTGACATGCCCGAGAGAGAGAGAGGCGCTTTTAACTGAAGGTTACTTGTGGTATAAGGAAGCTAAGAATAGTACGGACATTTGACATCTCTAATGATTACAGCATTTAGAACTGGACTGTTTGAACTCACCAAATGGTCGGCTTTTGCTTCTAGATCATTTGCAAAGGATAAAAGATTCACTTTGGTGGGAGCTTTACCCATCTACAAAAGAGGGGGAAAGAGAACCATGTCATGGCTGTGGGATTTTTAAGCCTTAGCAATATCTAATAGACAATAGGGTGAGCTATGGTCCATAAAGTAAGACTGGAAACTCTCAACATAGGTGACCACAGCTGCACTCGTATTTATACATATAAAACCATATTATTTTTATCCAGCCACATGATCCAACCATAAAAAGAAATCAAGTACTGATCCATGCTATAATGGAGATGAATCTCAAAAACTTTAGGCTCCATGAAAGGGGACCAGGAAAGACCATGAAACACAGAAGGTCACATGCTGTATGATTCCACTCATATGACATAGCCAGAATCAGGAAATTCATAGGAGCAGAACACAGATTAGTAGTTGTCAGAGCTGGGAGGGCAGAAGGGAAGCAACTATGTAATGGGAATGAGGGTTTTTTTTCAGGCGATGAAGATGTTCTGGAACTGGATAGAACCGGTGGTTGAGCAACATGGTGATTCTACTCCAAGTTAATGAATTGTTCACTTTATTTTTTTAATTTTTTATTATTTCTTAGAGATTTTATTTTTAAGTAATCTCTCCACCCAAAGTGGGGCTCGAACTCACGACCCTGAGATCAAGAGTCGCATGCTCTATTGACAGAGCCAGCCAAGCGCCCCTGCATTGCTCACTTTATTTAAAATAGTTAATTTATGCTATGTAAATTTAATCTCAATAATTAAAAAAAGGAAAGAAAAATAAAAAACCGGAGCTATCTGCTGTTATTTTCCCCCCCAAAGATCAAGCACGAACACATGGGTCACACCTCAGCCAAGTAGACATTATAGTCTATGGTGTCTACTCCTGAAGAGCTGAAATCCATAAGGTTTCTTCTTCCCACTTCGTCCAGCAGCACAATATTGTCAATACTTACATTCAGATTTTTAAAATCATTGCCTATGTTTCCAGCATGCTGCATGATAAAAAGAAAAGTTATAGGTAAGCCCATCCTTCAAGAATGCTACATACGCGTTAAAAGAGCAATGACACAAGACAAAGAAAACACAGACGTGCCCTTGACTGGCATTTCCTCCTGGTACTCTTCTCTCCCCTCCCACTCCTTCCCTGCATCCCTGCCTCCTTCCTTATGCCCCACGCCAAGCACTGTGTGAGGAGCTGGGATGCAAAGCAAAATAATAGTCTATCTCAGGCCTCAAAGCCCTCAAAGGAAGAGACAGCGTTGTAATAAAGGCATGCAAACTGCGTCAGGACCCCAGGGGCAGGAGAGAGTCTGCCAAGGCAGGGGGCTGGACGGGGCAACGGAGGGGAGTCGGGCTCTGAGTGGGTCTGGACAAATACAGATGCTGAAGGGGGCCAGGCAGGCTGTATCCCAGGGGAAGGAGGCAGCACGCCCTGGACTCGCGCGGCGAGGACACTTGAGATCACGGGGACATGGCCGGTGACGTGGGGTTGTTCTAAGAGGCAGGCAGAGTTTCAGGCAGCGAGCGTGTAGTGCCCGAGTGCCCTTGAAACTCTTTTGCTCCTCCTCCTGTCCATTATGCTCTTGAGTGGGCTCTGCCTTGGGGGCGGGCAAAGAAGCAGAGGAAGTCAGTCCCTTCTGTCCCTTTTCATCGCTGTTGCCATGCTGTCTTGCTGAGGGCTGGCGGAGCTCCGCAGAGGCCCCTTGGAGTCCTGCAGCCACAGCCATGATTCCTGAGGGGCAAGGACTGTGTGGGGTGGAGTTCTGGGTGCTAGTTCCCTCTTCAGGGACCGGGCCGAAAAGGGTGGCCAGTGTTGGCTCTCCAACACCCCCGGGGCTTTGCTCCTCTAGGGACACTGACACACACACAGCAAGATCTTCCTGCGTCGTGTCCGCACCGAAGGCCGCTTTAGAGATTTTGGGTGGTCAGCTAGAGAAACTCAGGCCTCAAGAAAGACAACGGGTTGGGGGTGATGAAAATGATCTGGAGTTAGACAGAAGTGAGAGTTGCACGACCTTGTGAGCATTCTAAATGTCACTTTCAGATGGTGAATTTTATCTTATGTGAATTTCACCTCAATGAAGAAAAAGAAAAAGGCAACTGGCTTTACTAAAGACATACATCCCTTTCCTGATTGGCTCTAATTCCTTACCTCTTGAAAGTTGAGATGCTCACTGATATTGTAGCTGTTCTCTAGCTTAAGTGTGGTATAGATGCCCTTATTTTCTTTGCAGTCACTGTGGGAATAAAGAGAGAAATCACGATCCAGAAAGGCAGCCGTGTCTATCTCTGTCCCCCGCTAAGGATGGAGAGAAAGGTTCACTGTTTATCTTTAGTTTTGTTTAAATCTGGGTGCAGAGAAGCGGCTTCTGAGTGCTGATGCAGGAGGTCACCACCCCTCCCACCCCCACGCGCCTGCAATTCGGGACTTTGTTCCCTGCTTTACTCAATGTCCCATCTTCGGAACAGATACAGTAAGACTGGTAAAGCATCCTTCTTTCTGTCTCCTTTGTGCTTTTTCTACTGCTGTGAGGGATAACAAGTTCACAACTTGGGAAGAAATAAATTCTCATAAAAAACAAACAAAAAAGGACACCATCTGCTAGAAAGAGGTGTGTTACAGAGCATATCATGGGCTTTATTAAAAGATTCTATCAAACCCCTGCCAGACCACCTGCCTCCATATTTCCAGGGCTGAGCTTCACTTACCAAACAAATGGTTGGATGTATATTTTAAGGGCAGGATGGAGACAGGGAAGGGGGCCACACCTATATCCAGACGGTCAGTACACCTAACTTGGCCTCACCTCTCTGTGCTTCTCTAAAATGTGCAAAATGCCTCCTTGACTGAGCTAAGAAGAGCAAGCTCATCTGATGCATGTCCCTGCCACTGGGACGGGCACTTCCCGGGGGCGCCTCTTCCTTGTCCAGCAGCCAAAGCCCTCTAGCCCCGAGGGATGCCTGGGAGAAGCCACTTTCCCACAGCCCTAGGAGGAGTGATACTCCTCTCCAGGGAATCCCCAGTCAGCTGGTGTTGTTGGAACAGAGAACTAGATACACTAGCCACCAGGGGTAGGCTGCAGAATTCTGCAGGAGCCAGGGGCACAAAGAGCTGGCAGGCCAGGCCAAGAAGATCGGCTTTGTCTTTTCAGCCCAAAGATGGTTTAATCATGCCCAGAGACTCCAATCAATCGATAACGTCTGCCTACAACATGCTGTGGAGAAGGATCCTGAGACTCTTCTGGCTATGAGCAAGACCACCAAGGGCTGACTACCAAGGGCTACCATGAAGGCCACTCATTTGCTATCTCTGCTAGGGGAGCCTCTGAACCGTATTGAGCAGGGAGGAAGTAAAACTGCCCAAAGTCACCAAGGCCTGCTCCCTGATGGTACAGCCAAGACTGGAGCCCGTCAGGCAGCTGCTTCACTATTAATTAGCATGTCTGAGATTTGGACCCATCTGCTAACTTCTTCTTATATAGCATTTACTTGGGGTGGCGTGATTGCCGTACAAAGAGTTTTCAAAGGGTCTCGTTAATGCATCTTAGGGTCACCTTAACCAGCAAGGTCTAGTGCATACCGGACAGGGGGACCTTGAGACATCACCATGCCAAAGTCTAGAAGGCTTTCAGGGGAAGGATGCTCTTTTTGGTCTTATTTTTACCACTTCCTTGCAAAGACTAGAGAATAGCTGGTCTTATCAAGCTTAAAGACACTTTGAAAGCAAAATTCTCATTCTGGAACAACAACATTTTCAGTAGCCGAAAAATGCATAATGCCATTAAGTCTACCTGTAAACTTGTTCAAAAGTGAGATTAATATCCGGGTTGTTAAACACCATGCCAGAGAGATAGTATTTCCAATTCTCATTTAGTAAATATGGTGTGTCCAAAATCTAGAACAAATTGAAAAAAGCTTTTTTTTAAAAGAGATACTCTTACACTAATACACATACATATAATAAAATAAATATTCTGTTAAATATATTTTGGGGATTTTCAGATCATGGTTCTCTTCATTGGTTTCCAATTTAAAATGGGAAAATAATGGGGCGCCTGGTGGCTCAGTTGTTAAGCATCTGCCTTCAGCTCAGGTCATGATCCCAGGGTCCTGGGATCGAGCCCCGCATCAG